AGTGCCATAATAGATCAGGGGGGGGAAAAAAGCTGCTACTGGAGAGATTAGCAAGTTTTAGAATGGCAAATACCTTTAGTCATGCAGCACCTTGATCCTGGTGCATGAACTGGACCCCAAGCACAGCCACAGCAAAAGAAAATTACAAAAAAGCTCCATTGCCTCACACACCTAACTGACCAGGATCTGCATGCACAGAAAGTGTATGCACAGAAGAAGAGACTCCAGAAGGAACACTGTTAAGAGGGCCTGCATCCCTCATCCAGGTATAAGAAGAGCATCTGCCTTGAATTGGATTTCAAATGGTAGGAATGCATACGTACAAAACCTAGCAAAAAAGAGTAGCAGGTCCCTGACACTGAACAGAATCCAAAGAGGCAAGAATCAGGAGAAGAAGGAATGGATTAAATGGGTTGTTTTGATATTTTTCAACCTATCGTTAGGTTTCTATATAGTATATCCAAGTAACTATGCTGTAATAACTGCCTGCTTCATCTTCATTCAGCAATATGAACCCAAAACATTTTTATATTGGTGCTTGCACTGCCTGCACATCAGAGATACTCATACGTGATTGAGTACTGCTGGTCCAGTCCTCTTGGTGGACCTGACACCTCCTAGTTTCTGGTTTAACAGGCAAGAACTTGAAGTACCTTCTGCCATCTGGATAGTTTCCAGAACACAAAACCAAAAATAGAATGGAAAAAACTGGCAGTTGAAATTGTAATATATTTCTGCAGTCCTGATCCAGAAATTAAAACCACAGAACACATGAACACCCTTCACTTATGAGAGTGATGACTGGCTTGCTTATGGAATCAGGTCGTTTACCCTAAAACAAACTTTGTCATGGTGTTTTGGGGGAGGGGGTTGCTATCTGTTAGTCTTAGCATCACTTAGAAAATATTTATTAAGTAATGCCCAAATTATACAGATCATACTTTACAGAAAATAAACACATCAGTTAGATGACAGAAGATTATGTACTCATTCTGTCAGCAAGACATTTTCACAGGATTTAAAGCAGAGGAGGTAGATTCAAATGTCTGGAAATTCACTGATGTATGTGAGGGCTTCTGTTTCTCCTGCACCTCCATTTTGGAGTATTCTAAACACTGGCAATAGTTACACAGCTGCTTCCTTTCAATAAAAGGTTGGAGCATATTTAGCCAATTAAAAGCTATGCAAATGTCTCACACATAACTTCCAGGAATTTGTTCTGGAAGATGAATTTTTATTATTACAAAAAGTATTTATCAAATTATTTAGTATTTCCCTCACGAAAACAAGCACAAGACTACAGAAATAGATAACATTAACATAAAATGTGAATGCAAGGAAAGTTTAAAAATTACAGTATCATTATTAAGGTTATATAAATCTCTGTGCCCTGCTGTCCAAGATGTACATGTACATCCCTACAATCTCTTCTGAAATAATCAAAGGGCTATATCATGCACTTTACAATAGTTTAATTAGCACACATCTTTTGATTTCCAATAGTACATTACTTAGGTACCAGACAGATAAGTATCAATTCCAAAAAGAGACTTAATAATAGCTATCTTTCTATACAAACTCCAGTGAAAAAGGTCTTTTAGTCAAACCTCTGGAGGAAAACCAAAGTTTAAGGCTCCACCAACTTGATTTTGAAATAGTCTGGACTAAAGGAATAGAAAGCGTCATTCAATCCTCTGGCACCCCTTTGATTTTTCTCTGGAATATTCATCAAATAACAGCAACTTAAATAATTTCAAATCTATTTTTCAATGCAAAACCACATTCCGTTATTGCTACACACCTATGAAAGGAGACAAAAGGGTCTATCTAAGCCTCTCCTAAATTAACAGCACTCTAGAGAAAACTAGTCATACACCAGCTCAGACTCTGGACTCAGCACTACTCCATCCTTCCATGTCCCCCAGTCACCCCCCTTCTCCATCCTTAATCTTCCATGTTTAACTTAACCTAAGCAGACCAGAACAATAAATAAGGACGAGGGAGGGAAGAAAGGCATATTTCATTTCCGAGACACAGTAACTCTTTAAATACATTTGTTTTAATCTGCATGATTTAGTCACATGCTTCTAGAGAATATTTACAAACTTCATGGTTTGCCCAACTGGGCATCCTCTACTCATCCCTCAATCTCCTCTTTTTAAAAGCAAAAAAAATGTTAAAGAACCAATTAGAAAAAGGCTCAGAACAATAGGCAGACACAAATATATTAATGCAAATAAAGCATAACAAGCTAAATGTAGTAAAACATACAACTGCTGTACAGCCATGCTACTTACTGCTACAGAGCAGTTCATTTTGAAGCAACAAAATCATATTTCGTTTTGACAGTACTTTGACTATGACTCTTAAAAAAGAAGACTGAAAGATAATAATGAAGTCTATCTAACAATAACTTAAGTTTTCCATTAAAAATAATCATAATTTATATTTAAGGGTAACAAATACATAGGCATGAAAAGAAAGTGTTTTAAAAATATGAAAATCACAAAAAAAAAAAATTACTGTAACATTGTATTTTGTATACCACAACTAAATACTACTGGACCCACACAAAAAAGGGCTAAAAAACCTTCATGCCCTACCACTGTACCAGAATTGAAAAGTTTTTATTTAGTAATAAAAAAATTAAATGCTGTTTCCAGTATACAATATTACTCAGTTAAAAAAAAAAGAAAAATTAACAGAAAAGGTTGCAGCTCAACAGCTGGGTTGCAGCAAACACCACACCCTGGGGGTGGGGGGGAAGGGGGAAAGGCAGTAACAACATTTCCAGAAATACAGAATTTGCAGTGAAAGTGGAAAATGTGAACTTACATCCTCTATTTCATCATTTTGACTGGTCCTACAGTAGGGAACCTAAATGAAGCACAGTCATATTTCTATGTGTAAGACACCAAAACTGACTAATGACTAACTTCCTGTAAGCTTTAACAAAGAATCTGTCATTGCTTCCTAACACCTATAAACAACCTGTGAAAGCTCATCAACTTATAATATCACCGATTAACTTACTTTTACATAAGTATACATTGCAGTTATGCCAAGAGGTTTTTATGTCAAGAGATTTAGCCCATCCTATAAAGGCAGACAAACTAAAGGTACACAGATGGTAAACTTTTGCAGACTTTCCAGAAAAAATGTCACACAAAGTGTATTTAGCATATCATGATAATATTGCAATGAAGCAGATGTAGGTGTATGCAACTCATATTTGTTGGAGTAACAGAGCTACCATCTTTGTGAGGCATATTTGGTGAAAAGCATTACTAAAAACCTTAGATGTAGTCAGAAACAAGGTTTAATTATCCTTTTTATAAAAATACCTTTATTTTCTCAAAACAGGTGCTATTGCCAATCCTTGCACCCTTCAACAGGTACACAGTACTTAACAGAGTTACAGCTCCATTTCTGTACAGGTTTCCCCATCAAGCAGAGGCAAATCTAGTTCCCTTTTACAGATGCAGTCAACCAGAATGGATAAGTTTGCTTAGGTAAAACATGCCACAGTAAACGATGATATATAATCTCCACTTACAGCGATCCTGTTTGCTCACTAGAAGAAAGCTAGGACTGATTACACGCAGAGAACAATTTACATTCATGGGACAGAACACATCACATCCTTTCCAGGTCCTGAAAATGTGCTTCTGCAGCAACAGAAGCCAGTTTACGCTATCAGTCTCAGAAACGTTTAAAGAGCTGCTCTACAAACATTGTTTATTTCCATTTCGAAATACCTCAAAAAACTACAAAGCACACACAGCATCACATTAAGGAAAAGAGAAATTATATTAAAAAAAAAATAAAAAAAAAAAGAACTGCGGGTGAAAAAAGCCTAACAGCTGTGATTAGTGAGCCGTGTGTTTATGCATCTTTCAGCATTATACAAAGCACTGCGTGAATTTTAGAGTGCTTCAGATGGCAAAAGATTGTTGAAAGAAACTTGTTAACAACCTTGTTAAAATAGAAAACTAGTATTTGATGGCAAAAAACCGAAGCTTATTATAAATGTCAAATATAGGATTATAAAGCAATACACAGAGATTCTGGGCTTGAATTTCGGTGCATTATCCAACCATCTGCCGACCAGTTGTGTAGCCAAATTAAGATAACGTGGAAATCTCCAAAAGGACAGCCAAATTCTTTTCCTTCAGCTATTGCATTTCCCTGCCTATGAGCATGCCCGCAGTAATCGCACTCTGCCTGCAGATTAACCCAGAGGAGATGACACCCGCCACAGCAAAGATCGCGAAGGCAATCTTGCCAGATAGGGCCGACAAGCAGGGCGCTCAGCTCGCGGTGAAGCCGGCTGTAGAGGCTGAAGCAGATTCCGCCGCGCCGGTGCAGCCTCGCCAAGGGTGGCGGTACGCAGGGTCCGGGGCCGCTCGGCCCCACCGCCGGGCCCTGCGAGCGGCGCTGCTGCTGCTGCTGCTGCTCGGGGCGAGCACGGCGCTGCACCGCGCAGCCCCGAACTTAAACTCGCTGGAGCAGGAGCGGGGTCGTTCCTCACTCCTCTCCCACCGCCGGGACGCTGCCTCGGCTCAGCCCGGAATCGGGCAGTGCTACGGGTCCAGCAGCTCCCCAGAACACCCTCCTTGCCCAGCAGAAACCTCTCAGGAGAGGCCCCCCCGGGAAAAATAAAAACTCCGAGGGGTGCCCTGAGGTGGGAAGTCCCCGAGCAGAGCCGCCTCGCAGCCGTGGGGAGCACGGGCGGTCCCGGGGCGCGCGGCAGCCAGGACGCGGGGCCGCCGGGCAGCACGGCGATGTCCAGACGCCCGCCCCGGAGCATGGCCGGGAGCTGCCCCGTACCCAGCCTGGACACCAGTTGCTCGACCCACGGTGAAGTAACGGTAAAAGGAGCCTGGGGGCGGCAGCAGAGCTCCCGAGGAAGCCCGACCCCGCCCTGCGGGCGGCGGGGCGCTTGCCCCATACGGGGCAGACGCGGGGGGGGGTCCGACCGCGCAGCCCTTCGTTCTCACCTCCTTAAGTTCCTTGGCGACATCTTTCAGATCCCCCAGGACTAATTCCAAATCCTCCACGATGATCTTGATCTGCTCCTTCACCCTGGCTTTGGAGGCTGCCGGTGGCCCCTCGGATGGCGAGGAGGAGGAGGATGCGGTCCCCTTGGACTGGGCGGACATCCTTCGGGGCAGCCCGGCGCGGCCAGCGGGGCACGCAGGTCAGGCGAGTGCGGCGGCCACCGGCCGCCCGGCCCCGTCCCTCCAACTCCCGGAGCTGCCGCAGCCGCTGCCGCCACCGCCGCCTGCCCGCCCGCGCATCCCGTGCCGGGGGCGCCGAGCCGCGCCGCGCTCCGCCGGGCGGCCGCGCTGTGCAGCTGCCATCGGCTCCCGGAGCGGCGCGGGGGCCCGGCTGCAGCCCGCCGCGCGCCGCGCCTGCGCCTCGCCCCGCCCGCGCCACCGCCCGCGCCCGGCCCGCCCCGGCCCGCCCCGGCTCCGCGCGGCAGCGGGGACCGCTGCGGAGCGGCGGGGGCCCGGCGGCCTCCTCGGAAGAGATGCTTTCCCCCTTCTTCGGCGCCCGAAGGCCCATGGGGGCCAGAACACTGTGCTGTATCTCCCAGAGGTGCGCGACGCTGTCTCCCCGGAGCCCCTCCTCGTTGTCCGCGGGAGAGAGACGGGTCGCACCAGGTCTGACGGGGAAAAGGTCAAAACACGTCAAAACTGCCCCTAAAAAGTGGGGCTGTCTCATTGAAGAAGACAACAACAGTGCCTGTTTCTGCTGATAAAAGTCATGATTGTAGGGATGGCACTCACACCCCTGTACTGTAAAGTGACCGATTTGGCGCGTCTGGAATGTTCATGGCTCGGTTTGGAGTAAGGCATGAAGCTATGGAAGGAGAGTGTTGTGTAGATGTCACCAAATCGGTAAAAGGCACTTATATATCCTTGCTCACCTGTATAAACTGCACTGCAAAACCACAATTTTCAGTAGATCCTGTTCTATTTGGGAAGTAAAGATTGTGTATCACACCATATAGAAATAAATGAGGCACGTCAGCCAGAGTATCTTTCATGAATATTCTGTGAGGGTCCTTCTCTGAAGTACTGGTTAGTGCCACTTTTAAACACATCCTTCCCCTACCACTCTTCAGACATCGATCTGTGGAGCAAAATGAAGAGATTGTAAGATACCACTAACTTCTGGTGGTTTTCAATTTTACTGCAAAAAAGCTAAAAGGAGTTGGTTTAGGTATTTCTATCTTCCAGTAGCTATGAACAGTGAGAAGAGGGTATGCAGCCAAGTCCTGCTTTGAACATTAACCTGCATGGCTGCAGCTGACTTTGATGTTGTAAATGTTTTTAAGAGTTTGGCAGCCTGAGATGTTTTAAGCTAGCTAAAGCAGGGCAGGAAAAGCAACCTTGCCCAGAGCAGTATTGTCTGCATGTGGTAAAAATCCCACTTGATGACCAACAGTTTGTCTCTGGGAAGATTGTGGGACTGGGATACGAATAGAGAGGGCCTGACGGCACCTGTCACTGCCTAGGATAAAGTATAATTATCATTCTACATTTTGCCACTATAAAATTTGTGCTATTTGGCTGAAATTATGAATATTAGTGGGCATAGAGTTTAATTTTTTTCCTAAGTGTCTCAAAGACCTTTCAAACAATTTCAAGGAGGCCATGCTCAAGAAGAGCACCCATCTTTCTTCTCAACTTTTCTCAAATAGGAGATTTCTTTTTCATCTCAACAAGTGAGAGCTCGTCCAACGCTGACTTTTAAAAGCATTCCTTCTGGTTATTTTTACTTAACTGTTTCTATATGAGCAACAACATCATATGATTTTTGAAGCTGGCTAAGTCAGAATTTCCAGACTGCAGTCACCAGTAAATTAGAAAGAAAGTAACCCACAAGTTGTTGAATAAGTTTTAATTAACGTGTTTGAATGCTGTTCCTCAGGGGTATTGTATGAACAGAAAAAAATAAAACATTTACGAAAAGCTATCAATGGAATTATCAATGCAGAAACCAGCACACATCCAGTTTATAATTAGGAAAAAAAGCCTATTTTGTGACAGAAGTTAAGGTTGCTGTACAACAGTATACCTGGCTATTCACAACATGGCTTACATAGATAAGGGATGGTTTCTTACTGTACAAATAAATATCATTGTCACAAAATTGCTACCAGATTTGCTACAGAAACTGTAATTTGAGCATTTGTAGATTGTGTCCGTATAAAGTGTTGCCACATCTCACTGCTAAATATTTTTATTTTAAGAAGGAAGAAATTATTCCTGTTCTATCTCATCAGTTAGTTTTAAGTCATGACAAGACTTTACCTGAAATCCTATGGTTATCCAATTCCTGTAAGCTGTGACCATCTTTGGAGACTTCCCAAACTTTTGAAGATATTAATCATGTTCTCTTTCCCAGTCTCTCCACTTTTGTACTGACATTCTTCTGAGAGCTGTGCAAGATTATACATTGGCTGATATTCATTCAAGTGTTTATTGCTTAGCCCTGAAGAATACTGACAGCGCTTCTAAGTCCTGAATAAAGTTTATTGTCCTATTCGTCTTTAAAGCAATTTAATGCCTTTGAAAAATGTTCTATACCTTGCCAAACCATGTCGTAGTTAACTAATGAGTCCTTTCCTGCAGTAAAGTTATCTCTTAGTAATTGCAGTTGTTTTTTCTTCTGTCTCTGCATAAAATGTTATTTGCTATTGTGCTGTCATTTTATTGTTTTTATAGTCTTCCTGTCTATACCTTCACCAAACCCAAACTGACTAATGAGGCAAAATAAGAGTCATTCCTTACCAGAAGTCTGACTCTTTCGGGTGTTAAAGAGATGAAGAGGACGCTTAAGAAGTCTCCCCAGAAATCTTGGGGACAAAAGTTATTTAAAAAGTAAAATTCTTAAGACATTCAAAGTGCAGTTCACTGATTTTCCATTAACACTTGAAATCCAGGAACACTTACTCAAGAAAAAAAGAACCCAAAGACCCACACACACATTAAACACATACTTATTTAGGTACCAGCTCACTGTCAGCAGTGATCTCAATTACGTTTGCAAGTTGAGTAAGGCTTGCAGTAATTGGGAAGGACCTCTCTCACAAAAATCTATCAAGATGCTGCAAAGTTTTGTTTTGGTGATTCAGTAGATGGCACTTTTCCTTCTGGAAAAAAAACCCCATCGTATATCTCAGCCAAGTGTTACAAATAGAATGAACTGCACTCACACAAAGCAGTGATTTTGTCATGCTGTTTTGTTTATGCTATTTATTTTACATATGGAGTCACTAAGATTTGGAAACTATGCAGGAAATCGTGAGTAATCATAAAATGTACATGAATCACAGAAATGATTTTTGCATGAAAGTCAGCCACAGCAGTAATATAAGAAATGTAATGAGTTTTAAATTTAATTTAAATTTTCTCTTACCAAAATAAAAAAAAAGCCCTAGATGCTTGCCTACTTGGAAGGACTTCTTTAGTGCCATAAAATCTTTGTACTTATTCTTGTATGAGAATAAAAACCAAAAGAGCACTTTATAGATGTAAAATTACATCCCAGTTTCCTCCAGTTGTTAGTATTTCAGATAAATTCATTTTAAAATAATTTGCTGTTGCCTGATGGAGGTCTTTTGTTTGAAGTTTGGGCTATTTATCAAAGGGAAAAGTTCCATAAATCCTTTTAGATCAAACAAGATCTGGATGTTCTGATTAATTTTAAACATTGTCAAACTTTCCAACCAAAAGCAAATAATTTACAAGGCAAAAAGATGTTTACATCTTAATGATAAAATAAAACCTTAATTTATTTTCCATTCTCTCTTTATAGAGAATATGTCCTTAAAGGAAATATTCCACTTATCCATACAAGTTAGGGAGGCAGTGAAACAGTAAAACTGTCTTTTTCTTGCCAGATAAAATTGTGTGGAAGAAAGCTTAAATCAATTGCCAGAGGCTTGAATGTTGGACATGTACTATTTCAAATATTCATTAAAATCTTCAAAATAATCACAAGATAAATTAAAACAATGGGCTAAGATAAAGTACAATGCCACTAATTTGCATTCCACTCAATTGTTAAAGATAGATTTTCATCTTTCATACTTTTCATCCTTAAAAGAACAGTATGGTAATCCCTTTTCAAAAAGCTTCCATACTTAACTGAGTAGTACATTCTTTTCTTTACTCTTAGACAGATTTTTAATGGTTATGATGAGAAAGTCACCCTGGCTGCTTATGTTTCAAACCGTATGGTTCTAGTTCATTTGCAAAAAAGCTGAAAAGCTTTTCAGTTAAAGGAAAAAATAAAAACTATTTTTGAAGGTGGTATGATGACATTATATTCTGACATATTAATGACATTATATTCTTCCACTTTTTAAAAAACAGGTTAATCCTTTAAAAAAACCTCAAGGTCTCACAAAATAAAAAACATACTTCTGAAAAAACATACTTCTGAATTCAGGTCACTTATTTCCAAAATGTAGCTAGAAAACAGTCAAATTCAGAGGCAGCATCACCCTTTGCACCAATTAATTGTCCTACTTATCCACCATTTTGTTCTTGATATTGATTCAAAATTATGCATACCATATGTATAATATGAAAGTCATCCCTTTCTGTCAATCCAGAGATACTTCTCGTAAGGATTTACATATTGGTAAACAAGGTTCAGGACTGATTATTTGTAAAGCAAACTCTAGGCGTGGAGCCAAGAAGCTGAACACACACCTAACACCATCTTATTCTCCTTTTAAAGTAAAAGTAGAGCAGAGTTTTATGGAATCCAAATCTATTTTCCTTGCATGTTGTTTGTAATGTGTAAAATGAGGATGGCAATAAAAGTTACTTTTCTTATCTGGAAAATCCTTTGTTCGTTCATTGTTGGTGTGAAAAGAAAGAGTGGGTCTTTTCTCCTAACTTAAAAAATATATGCAGTAATTTTTCTATTGAAGATGAGTGAAATGTATTCTCTGCATCACTTATCTTCTTCAGTCTTCTCAGGATGGAATGTCACATTTATTTACGCAGTTTAAAGAAAATCTATATTAATGTCTCTGTATTGAATGCCAGCTCACAAGATTTACTACAGCTTCATGGGAAAGTGCAGGAAGATAAACATGTTGAAATTAAGTCCTTCTTTGAATCACTTCTGTTCTATCAGGCTTCCTTTGTGAGCTGTGAGCAATCATAACATATGAACCCATTCTGCATCTCGGATATTCCTCAGGCGCTAAATTGCAGTCAGCTTTTTTCCCCACAAAATTTTACCTAGAGGTAGTTCTCTAAAAATGTCAAAAGCTTT